AGACATGAGAAAAACATTGCTTTACAAACCTTAAGACTTAAAAAAAAAAATTGATATTTTGCGTATGAAAGCATTGTAATATTTATCAATAATGTGCCAAATTTTGTTAACATTCACCTACTAATTTAAAAGTTATAGCATGAAAAATATAAAAAGCACAAAATTGTTATGAGGTTAGTCCGAGGGATCAAGCCCATGCTGAAAGAGTTAAAACCTTGGTAGCCCTGCCATCAAGTTAAATCTAAGTATATGATACTTTTGAATCCTTGTTAGCCAAATAAGTTCAGTCCAAGTAGGTGTTTCCTTTGAATCCTTGCCATACAAGTTCAACTTAAGTAGATGATTCCTTTGAACATTTTAATGTAACTAGAGTGGTTAAAAGAATAGAAATTTATTGCCTTATTGTTATGGAAATTTTTTTAAATATTCCTAAATACCATTATATTATATGAGAATGAACACTTGTGAACTTAACCTACCAACACGAAACATTCCTAAATACCATTATGTTAGATGAGAATGAACACTGTGAACTTACCCTACTAACACGAAATATTCCTAAATACCATTATGTTAGATGAGAATGAACACTTGTGAACTTACCCTACTAACACGAAATATTCCTAAATACCATAATATTAGATGAGAATGAACACTTGTGAACTTATCCTACTAACACTAAATATTTCTAAATACCATTATATTAGATGTGAATGAACACTTGTGAACTTACCCTACTAACACTAATTTTACTCTTTGTTTTAAGTGTGTCATAGAGTTTTCAGTGACACTGTAGAGATATGTCTGATGTCAGAATAGACATACCAATAGACAAGCATATCAGGAACTCTCCATGAGCTATAATGCTGTTGTACTTTAACAAATGAGGAAATGTCAAGGGTTATTATGGAGCACTTCCATTGTTATGGCTTGAAGTGTTGTGACTTTTCCTTACAAATACAATAAACTTCACTTTCATTAACATTTATTGAAAGATAATTTAACTATTTTCCAAATATATTCCATAATTTGTTGACCACTGATTTATTTTGTCCATTACATATTAATCAGTTTCTAATACCACGTAAGTTAATTACACAAGTACAAACAAATTTAATAGTAAATTGAAAAACAATCATTTATAAGTATAATGAAGTAGTTAATTTTTGGGGAATATACATGTTTTGACATAGTTCTGTCAAAACATGTAGTATGTCCCCCAAAATAAAAACACTTTATTATGCTTATAAATCATTCTTTGTAAATTTACTATTATATTAGCATAATGTTCTTCCATACATAAGTGTGTTGTACAGCTACTTTTTCCACAGTAAAAATAACAAATGTAGCAGCAAATAACATGCATTAAACTACTTTTTATTTACATATAAACACATTTCTTTACTCAAAAATAATACACTTCAAATCAATGCACTGTATCCACTGGCTAAAATCAGTAGATCTGTAAATATGCTTTGGTTTTTAACTAAAATATTTGAAGAGTTTTAATTAAAAATAAGATATAATCAGCTCACAGAAAGACCAAAATATAAAATTCTTAAATAGGCAATAGTCCTTTAATACTTTTTGTGTTACCCATTTTCCATCAACCTACAATTTAAAATCTAGACAACTTCTTTCTTTACCATACCCGTTCGATTTCTTTCCAAATAAGTGGTTCTCCATCTTCATCAATGTTTTCATATGTGTGGTTGTCAATGACCCTCAGCTGTTGCTCAAAAAGGGCACCAACTGCTCTGTGAACCAGGATATACTGCTCCTGTAATATTCGTAGATAAGAATGTTTAACAAGATAACTAACTGGTAGTTATTTTTGACTCAGAACTGCATGCAATGTGTCCATACTACTGATAACTTGAAAAAAATATTATACCAAAATATTCCTAAATACCATTATATTAGATGAGAATGAACACTTGTGAATTTTCCCTACTAACACTAAATATTCCTAAATACCATTATATTAGATGAGAATAAAAACTTTGAACTTACCCTAATAACACCAAATATTCCTAAGTACCATTATATTAGATGAGAATGAACACTGTGAACTTAACCTACTAACACCAAATATTCCTAAATACCATTATATTAGATGCGAATGAACACTGTGAACTTACTCTACTAATACCAAATATTCCTAAATACCATTATGTTAGATAAAAATGAACACTTGTGAATTTTCCCTACCAACACCCACAAGTAGCTAAACTATAACTTATACATTTTTATTGACAGTGAAAGTTACTGTTCATTAACCCTTTCACTGGGACTTCCCAGTACACTGGTAAATGTACGTCCTAGCCACAGTGAATGGGTTAAGGCAAAATCAGAACAAATCAAGCTTCTGGAAGAAGATTTGTCCATCAAAATAAAATCATGATCAATGAAGTATTAAAAGGCCCTACAATAGTTACTATGATCTCATCACACTGTGCACGTCTTCACCATTTACTCTTGAGCACGAAATCAGTGTGAGAACAGACTGATCATTATGTTCTCCAGAGCTCAAACAAAGAACATAAAACTGGGATCAACTTCAAGGATGAATTTTATGTCCACTTCACCTATCAGACACAGTGGGTCAGCTGGAAGGTCCTATACTGAAGGAATCAGGAAATATCCAGGACTCCATCCAGATCCCCATGCACACACCAACAGTTTGTTGATCCCCAACACATTAACACACACGCACCAACAGTTTGTTGATCCCCAACACGTTAACACACACACCAACAGTTTGTTGATCCCCAACACATTAACACACACACACCAACAGTTTGTTGATCCCCAACATGTTAACACACACACTCCAACAGTTTGTTGATCCCCAACACGTTAACACACACACCAACAGTTTGTTGATCCCCAACACA